AAAAAAAAAAAGAAAATTAAAATCTTCAAAACTGGACCAATAAGCAACATCATGAAAAAACAGAGAAAAGGTTCATTTTACGTGGATCCATAATCATTGCCCATGGAAGCAGTAATCAGAAATCAAACAACATATTACCAAATGTGAGTGATCAACATGGTGGCATTCAGGAAGAGGAAGACATAGACAGGTGCATGGGAGGTATAGACAACAAAGATGAACCCTTTTGCATATATACAGTACTGCGTTGTCAGGGAAGGCAAACATTGATCTATGGGTGGATAGATGGGTGGACAACAATTAGGTATGTTTATGCAAGGGCGGGTGTGCCCATGACTAGGTATAGGGTTGGCAAACAATGTTTCTACAAGTGTATTGGTATGTTCTGCAAGAATTCCCAGGTATACAGTAGACCTGACAAGGGACAAAGTTGTAGTCACTTCTTGGTCACAGCCAGCTACCCAAAGGGAGCAAGGAGTTGGACCTGTGGGCTCGGGACCATGGGACTATGGTCACAGGGGGCATCAAGCTCAATTGGCCTAACATACTACACAAAAACATTGTTCCACATCCTACTTTGGCAAATAGCGACTGGGATCTTAAAAGCTTGCAAGCAGCCATCTAGATGCAACGATGGGTCTCTCCTCGTCCAGAGCAAAGAAGAATGAAGAAAACCAAAGATTCATGGAAACAACTAGTCCAAGCGACTGATATACCATGCAATCTGCAGCCTATAAGACTATGACACTAGAAGAATTAGATGGTGCCCAGCTACCACTGTCAACCACTCAGAGGGGGATCTATGTAGGAGATCCTGGATAGAGAGGGAGAACAATGTGGAACAAAACTCAAAAATCATTTGGAAAAAAAAATAATAATAATAAAGGGGCGGGGTGACCAGGTTTGCTGGTCCGATAGAGCCTGGCAGAACTGAGACTATGGCCCCTAACTGCCCTTCATGTCTGGAACTGAACCCACACTGTGGCTCCCAGCCAAACAAAAGACAGGCATATGAGCTGAATATTTACCTGAGGTAGATATAGTCCTTGGAGAAAACAATCATGGGAGAAAGAAGGGCTGTTTATGTACAGGGAGACAGGTCAGGAGGCAGGAGTGCATGGAGGGATGGACACAGGGAAGAGGTAACTATCAGGAGGAAGTGGGAGGGGAGCTGTTGCATTGTGGTAAACTGTGGTCAGTGTCATGAAACAAAGTGTATGTGAGCTGCTGTATGGAAAGTGAATTTGCTCTGTAAATTTTCACCCAAATCACAACAACAAAAAAAGCTTGCAAGCAGCCACCTAGATGCAACCATGGGTCTCTCCTCATCCAGAGCAAAGTAG